ATATCAATCTCCTTATGCCAGATGTTCCACTTAGGAACAAACTTAAGTTTGTTCAGCTTTCTGAGTTCTAGATCCAAGAAGGGTGAGAGGATAACAAATCCCTTCTTCCATATAAGTTCCATTTTCTCTGTTTCAATTTAATTCAGGTGGGCTTATCTCTTCTCTACCACTGAACTAGAACCAGCCTTCCCTTTGCTTTTGTAAACCTTACTTTATTAAACAAATATTTATTGAGAACCTACAATGTTTTCAGAATAAATTAAGAACACAGTCTATGACCTTTATCTTCTTGAGTCACATTTCTTCCTGTTCTAGTTTTTTCCATGGCTCAGGAATTAACTAACTCCATGATTCATATGTCTAAGAGTCATTTAATTCACATTTCCCATATTCATATAGACAGTATTCAGTTTAACAATTCAGCTATTGGGACACCCTTCTGCTTACAAGAAGAATAAAGAATTTGTTTTTAAATAGAGAAAACTCAATTTGAATAACATGCTTGAAACCCACAGTTAGGTGCAGTAACAGACAAGTTGCCCATGGCACCAAAAAAGCCCTGACTTCAAGCACTGGCCTTGCCACTAAGTAGTCAAGAGGCTTGGAATAAATCGCATGACCTCACTGGACTTCAGTTTCTTTAGGTTTAACATGACAGGTTTGCTAGATCACCTCTCTGGACTTCACTCTAAAATTTGATTCTGTCACATGTCTTATTGCTAAACATGTTTAGATATTTCATTTGACAGGTAAAACAAGAGAGAAGGTGATTGGCTGTTAACACCAGTTGGTCACGTTTATCAATCTGATTTAGGAAGGAAAGTCGCTTGCAGAGAGGGCTTCTCTTAGAAAAATCATATTACCTTCCTTTTTTTCTTTCAGATTAGTTTGTTTCAGGTCAATCTGTCTCTCTCTTGAAGGACTTTAGTGAATCTTGGCTAGCACTTGAAATCTATGGTAAGGTACAGTAGGCAATTATTTAATGAGTTATTTTGTGACTACACAATAAGATGTGTCAACTTCCACCTATTGTTCTGCTTACCTAGATGCAGATATCTTGAGATCTTGATGAGCAAAACACTACCTTTAGCACCAAATCCAGTATCTGGTAGGATGCTTTTGGTTACAAATAAATAACAAAGCATCATTACAATCTGGCTTAAACCACGAAGGGAATTTATTTGGGGAATTAATTGGCTCATGTAACTGAAGAGGTGGGCTTTTGGGTGCAGATCAGTTAGAGGTTCAGTTCCATTTTCCACAGGTTCTTCCTGCTCTTCCATCATTTAGGGACTAGCTTCATCCTCAGGGCAGGTTCCCTCAATAGGGTGACTGCAGCTAGAATTCAGCATATATACTTTTCTCTCCAGATCATGTGCAATGAGACTGGATGAATTGGGTAAATTTCTTTCTTTATTATTAAAATCCAAAGTTTCACTCTAACTGGATAAAGTTAGATCACAAAATCACCTCTGGGCAGCAACCATGGTATGAAGGATGGGAAGAAGCCATTGGCTTCTCACCATGTAGAGTTAAGAGGAGGCTCAGCCCTCAGTGCTTGGCTGTGTCAATACCTGGAGAGGCAGCCAGTAAGCACTACATTACAGAAATAGAAAAAACAAAAACAAATGGCATCTGCTCATATTTTAGATATGGATGAATAGACACACAGACACATGCAAATAAAGAACTCTCCTATATTCAAGAATTTCAAAGTGAAAAGATGTATGAACATGATGAAATAATCCCATTGTGGTCTTAGTATTTTTGTTTAACAAAGTATTAATATTGACATCTGTTGAATCTGATTTCTTTGAGCTTCTCTGATCCCAGTAAGTAAGAAGATAATACTTTAAACTTATAAATGTTGCTATTTAACAGGTTTTAGACTTTTTAATATCCATAAAAGCAATTTATATGCACAACTGCTAAGTCCCTAAATCCTTAGCAAGCACATGATAATTGTATTGTTATATTACTGCTAATGCTACAATAATAACACATGTCAAAATCCCAGGAACCAAAAGGCTAACTCTGGGGAATTCAAGTGCACTGACAACTCTGCATTCACAAGCGTGATCCTGGGTTATCATTTCCAACTTCTTTTTATTCCTCAGTGATACAGCCTCAACATGATCATCTACATAAAGCACCCCCATAATCATATTAAGATTAAGGAAAATATGTATGAAACACTTTATTCATGCTTAGTGACAGTGAGCAAGGTGGAAATAGGCAGAAGAATTTTGGTGACAGTTTATATTCCAACAAATAATCACATGGTTTCAAGTGTACTCCCAAAGCAGATTACATGTTTTACGTTTTTAATTATAATCATACTTTCCTCTTATCTGATATGAATATCTTCAATTTAAATATCAGTTTAATTGATGTCTATCATTTAATAATCATAATATGATCCAAGCCAATTATAATAATTCTTTCCTGTAAAACTATAGCTGTTAGAAGAATGTTGAGTGGGAAAATGTTTAAATCCTGACATAAAAATGTCTGTGATAAAACCAGGAGCTTTGAATTTCATGGTCCTTTAATATTGCCTTTGAAGTAATGAAAAAGCCATTTTCCACCACTTGCTTCAAGGATTTCACTAATAACATCTTTCACAAAGGACCGATCTTATTTTAAGCAGGATATTGTGACGTTATTCTAAAGCATTTAAAATTATATAACAAACTTTTACTGAAATTTCTGAGTCTACCTTTTTTTATTCTCCCTAATGAAATATTTGTTAAAGAGGTTACTTCAACCTTATGGAAATAGGTTATGCCTAGGATAGAGAATCCATTATTTAATTCCGTTCCAGAAATAAAGGATAACAAGCTGAGGGGGGAGGAATGAGGAAGAAGGATGTTATAAATAATGTAAAGACTAAAAAAATAGGCTTTTCTCTTTTTTTAATTGAAGTTGAATTTCTTTACAATGTGGTGTTAATTTCTGCTATACAAAGAAGTGAGTCAGCTATACATAGACATATATCCCCTCCATCTAGGCTTTTCTTTCAGACTTTTGGTTCACCTTGTGGGGTTTCCCTGATGGCTCAGATGGTAAAGAATCTGCCTGTAATGTGGGAGACCCAGATTCATACATCCCCTCCCTCTAGGCTTTTCTTTTGATCCTTTGGTTCACCTTAGGTGAGACCTGGGTTCATATATCCCCTCCCTCCAGGATTTTCTTTTGGTCCTTTGGTTCACCTTAGGCAGCAGAAAAATTAGTAATTTGATAACCTTGGACTGGACGATCATGGACACTTGCCTCCACACCAAACTCCCCTTTAGTAGGACTGCTGCCCACTTAGTAAGGACCTAGTGGCAAGGAAATTGCCAGAGCTTAAACAGGTCAACAGAACCAGCAGTGATCTTTGCAGACATCTTCATGTTACACTCTGTGACCATCCCTGTGTGCCCTGAACAAAGTCAACTACAGCAAGAAGCAGAATTTCAGAAATTCCTAGCTTAGGGCTGTCTAATTAAAAAATGGTTCAAGAGAAAGTTTCCCAGGAGCACAGAAATTTGAGGAGGAAATTAGTTTCTTCTTTTACTTCATATGGGATCTTCGACGAGGAAACTGCAAAGGGGAATTCTGTAAAATGCACCTGAGGATATCCTAGACAGGCTGCACCGAGAGAAAGCTAACTGTTGGCAATAACCCCAGGCTTTGTGTTGGACCAACTTACCTTTCCTGAGAGGATCAGGTACTGAAATGAGGAGTGTTTCTAGGAAGTAACCAATAAGAAATTAGAGGATAGCTTTACCAGTGCTAAAAAGAAAAAAAAAAAATGAATGAATAAATGAACTAAGGAAAAATTTGAATCTAAAAAAGACTTTCCCATAAGAAGATGTGCAGATGACCAACAGGCACATGAAAAATGCTCAACAGCATTAACCAACAGAGAAATGCAGATCAAAACCACAGTGAGATATCATCTCACTCCCATTAAATTGGCTATCATCAAAAAGTGTACAAACAACAAATATTGATGAGGATGTGGACCAAAGGAAACTCTAGTATGCTGTTAAGATTGTAAACTGATGCAGTCACTATGGACAACTGTATGGAGGGTCCTCAAAAAACTAAAAATAGAAATACAACATGATCCAGCAATGCCACTCCTGGGGATATATTCAAAGAAAATGAAAACATGAATTTGCAAAGGCACAGGCACCCCAACATTCTTCCCATTATTTAAAATAGCCAAAATATGGAAGCAACCCAAGTATCATCAACAGAAGAATGAATAAATCTAGGAATTCTCCACTGTGGCTCCAATGTTTACATTTGTAATGGAAACAAGCTGAAGATAAATGCTAATGTAATGCTGGTTCTGTTCAGTTCACTCAGTCGTGTCCAACACTTTGAGACCCCATGAACTGCAGCACGTCAGGCTTCCCTGTCCATCACCAAATCCCAGAGCTTACTCAAACTCATGTCCATTGAGTCAGTGATGCCATCCAACCATCTCATCCTCTGCCGCCCCCTTCTCCTCCCACCTTCAATCTTTCCCAGCATCAGGGTCTTTTCAAATGAGTCAGTTCTTCACATCAGGTGGTCAAAGTACTGGAGCTTCAGCATCAGTCCTTCCAATGAATATTCAGGACTGATTTCCTTTACAATTGACCTGTTTGATTTCCTTGTAGTCCAAGGGACTCTCAAGAGTCCTCTCCAACACCACAGTTCAAAAGCATCAATTCTTCAGCACTCGGCTTTCTTTATGGTCCAACTCTCATATACACATGTGACTACTGGAAAAACCACAGCCTTGACTAGATGGACCTTTGTTGGCAAAGTAATGTCTCTGCTTTTTATTTTTTATTTTATTTTATTTTATTTTTTTGGGGGGGACAAAACTGCAGAACTTTATTGAATTTTTTGTTTCAAACTTTAAGTCAATGTTATAGTAGTTTCACATGCAATATTGTGAGAATTTTAACAGCCACATTTCCAACTCAAGAACAGCCTGCATGGTTACAGTTTGTCTTCATTCAAATCTGTGGTTGCCCTTCACCCGCTTCTGGCATTTTCTTGGGCTCTGGATCCAGCAGTCCCTTCCCCTCAACATCAGGACCATGCTCACCACCGGTCTTTGGCTCAGGCTCAGCCAGTTCCTGTTGATCAGCCTCCAGGGCAGGCCCTGGAAATGCAGATGCAGATGCTCCTTCATCCTTTCTCTCTTGAGGAGGTGGAATGTTCTTACTTTCAATTGTTGGCTCCTCTTCAGGTTCCTCAACCTCGATAAGTGCCCTGGGATATCCACAACCAAAACCTCTTCCTTTAGGCCTATATGTTGACTTTATTCTCCGACTCATATTTCCCGCCTGTTGACCTCAGCCAAACGGAAGGAAGCGAAATCTAAGATGGGATGCGCAGGGTTCGACACCCAGACCACCTCGCACACTGCACCGCAATGGCCAATGGGGGTGTCTCTGCTTTTTAATATGCTGTCAAGGTTGGTCTTAGCTTTTCTTCCAAGGAGCAAGCATCTTTTAATTTCATGGCTGCAGTCACCATCTGCAGTAAGTTTGGAGCCCAAGAAAATAAAGTCAGCCACTGTTTCCATTGTTTTCCCATCTATTTGCCCTGAAGTGAAGGGAATGGATGCCATGATCTTAGTTTTTTGAAAGTTGAGTTTTAAGCCAGATTTTTCATTCTCCTCTTTCATATTCATCAGGAGGCTCTTTAGTTCTTCTTCGCTTTCTGCCATAGGGTGGTGTCATCTGCATATCTGAGGTTATTGATATTTCTCCCGGCCACCTTGATTCCAGCTTGTGATTCATTCAGCCTGCATTTCACATAATGTACTCTGCATATAAGTTAAATAAGCAGTGTGACAATATACAGCCTCGACGTACTCCTTTCCTGATTTGCAACCAATCCATTGTTTCATGTCCGATTCTAACTGCTGCTTCTTGACCTGCAACCAGATTTCCCGGAAGGCAGATCAGGTGGTCTGGCATTCCTATCTCTTTAGAATTTTCCAGTTTGTTGTGATCCACATAGTCAAAGGTTTTGGTGTAATCAATAAAGTAGAAGTTGATGTTTTTCTGGAAATCTGTTGGTTTTTCTATGAGTTAATGGATGTTGGCAATTTGATCTCTGGTTCCTCTGCCTTTTGTAAATCTAGCTTGAATATCTGGGAGTTCACAGTTCAAGTACTGCTGAAGCCTCACTTGGAGAATTTTGAGTGTTACTTTGCTGGCATATGAGATGAGTGCTGCCAGCAAATTTGGAAAACTCAGCAGTGGCCACAGGACTGGAAAAGGTCAGTTTTCATTCCAATCCCAAAGAAAGGCAATGCCAAACAATGCTCAAACTACCACACAATTGCACTCATCTCACACGCTAGTAAAGTAATGCTCAAAATTCTCCAAGCCAGGCTTCAGCAATACATGAACCGTGAACTTCCAGAAATCTGTATGCAGGTCAGGAAGCAGCAGTTAGAACTGGACATGGAACAACAGACTGGTTCCAAATAGGAAAAGGAGTACGTCAAGGCTGTATATTGTCACTCTGCTTATTCAACTTATATGCAGAGTACATCATGAGAAACACTGGGCTGGATGAAGCACAAGCTGGAATCAAGATTGCCAGGAGAAATATCAATACCTCAGATATGCAGATGATGCCACCCTTATGGCACAAAGTGAAGAAGAACTAAAGAGGCTCTTGATGAAAGTGAAAGAGGAGAGTGAAAAAGCTGGCTTAAAGCCCAACATTCAGAAAACTAAGATCATGGCATCAAGTCCCATCATTTCATGGCAAATAGATGGGGAAACAGTGTAAACAGTGTCAGACTTTAATTTTGGGGGCTCCAAAATCACTGCAGATGGTGATTGCAGCAATGAAATTAAAAGATGCTTACTCCTTGGAAGGAAAGTTATGACCAACCTAGACAGCATATTAAAAAGCAGAGACATTACTTTGCCAACAAAGGTCCGTCTAGTCAAGGCTATGGTTTTTCCAGTGGTCATGTGTGGATGTGAGAGTTGGACTGTAAAGAAAGCTGAGCGCCGAAGAATTTATGCTTTTGAGCTGTGGTATTGGAGAAGACTCTTGAGAGTCCCTTGGACTGCAAGGAGATCCAACCAGTTCATCTTAAAGGAGATCAGTCCTGGGTGTTCATTGGAAGAACTGATGTTGAGGCTGAAACTCCAATCCTTTGGCTACTTGATGTGAAGAGCTGACTCATTTGAAAAGACCCTGATGCTGGGAAAGATTGAAGGCAGGAGGAGAAGGGGAAAACAGGATGAGATGGTTGGATTGCACCACTGACTCGATGGACATGAGTTTGGGTAAACTCCAAGAGTTGGTGATGGACAGGGAGGCCTGGCCTGCTGTAGTCCATGGGGTCTCAAAGAGTCAGACACAATGAGTGACTGAACTGAACTGAATTGAGATGAGTGCAACTGCGCATTAGTTTGAACATTCTTTGGCATTGCCTTTCTTTGGGATTGGAATGAATTTTGTGTATATATATACATAAATATAGATGTTGTATATATATATAATAAAGAAGATTTATTATATATATAATGGAATATTACTCAGCTATACAAAGAATGAAATTCTGCTATTTCTAACAACTTGGATGGATCTAGAAAGTATTATACTTAGTGAAGTAAGTCAGACAGAGAAAGCAAAAATTTTATATTATAACTTATATGTAAAATCTAAAAGAGAAAACAAAACAAATATACATAAATATAGATGTATATATATTATAAAGAAGATGTAATATATATATATATAAAATGGAATATTACTCAGCTATACAAAGAATGAAATTCTGCTATTTCTAACAACGTGGGTGGATCTAGAAAGTATTATACTTAGTGAAGTAAGTCAGACAGAGAAAGCAAAAACTCTATATTATAACTTATATGTAAAATCTAAAAAAGAAAACAAAACAAATGTATATAACACAACAGAAATAGACTCACAAAAATAGAGAACAAGCTAGGAGCTACCACTGGTGAGAGGGAAGGGGGTGAGGCATGTTAGGGATATGGGATTAAGAGGTACAAGCTGTTATATATAAAGTAAATAAGCAACAAGGGTATGTTATAAAGGATAGGGAAATAAAGCCATTACTTTCTATTTTATTATTTATTTTATTATTTTATTACTTATTACTATTTTATTATTTATTTGTTTATTTATTTTTTGGCTTCACAGTGCAGCTTGTGGGATCTCAATTTCCTGACAAGAGGCTGAATTGAGAGACCTGAATCTTGACCACTGAACCACCAAAGCACTCTCTATAATAACCTTAAATGGAGTATAATCTATAAAAATACTGAATCACTGTGCTGCACATCTGAAATTAATATAATATTGTAAATCAACTATACTTCAATTAAAAAATAAATAAAGACCTTCCTATGATAATGGTGGAGGGCATAGCTGCTTTTCTTTCATTACACATACTTTTCTGCTTGTTCCCTTCATTTTTACAGGAAGGGTAGCAGTACCCAGTTTAGAACCTTGTCAGAATTTCAAAATAGTGCCTGGCATATTCTTAGATTGTGTGTGGGTGTGCTAAGTCACTTCAGTTGTGTCTGACTCTGCGATCCTATGGAGTGTAACCCACCAGGCTCCTCTGCCCATGGGATTCTCCAGGAAAGAATACTGGAGTGGGTTGCCACTTCCCACTTCAAGGAATCTTCTCAACCCAGGGATCAAACCTCCATCTCTTCTCTTATGTCTCCTGCATTGGCAGGTGTGTTCTTTACCCCTAGTGCCACTTGGGAAGCCCATTCTTAGATGAGCTATTCTTATTATAATAATATGATTTCATCAATTTATAGATGCTGATGGTATCTCTTAGAATGGCCAAATGAATGAGCCAGTACAGCATTCATACCAGGAAAAGTGTTTTTAAAAAATCAGACTCCTTCAATATTTTGTGGCATCATTTTATTGGAATCATTAGATTTCACAAGATTGCCTGGGTCAGACCAGGTGATATGATGTAGAGTTTTAGGGAGCCTAAGTTTACCTCTATAATATTTGGGACTCAGTAGATATGTTCTGTGAAATGTAGTTGGCTAAAATTTTATGATGGGGCTCTGACGTGAAGGTTGGAGCGGTTACAGGGATCCCCATATGTATTTTAATCAAGACACATGACCTGCAATTTAAGAAACACTGTTTACTTTATTCATACCACGCCTGTGCCTTCAACATTCTGAAAGAGAAAAGATAGACAGTCTGCTCCCTTTCAAACTCTTTTGGACAAGAGTCTTGAATGAAGGAGATAAGTCGTTAAAGTGATTTGGCAATAAATGCTATAACTGAGGGCAACGAGGACATAGACGTCTAGACAAAACAGTGTCATAAAGTATGTAGGAAAAAAAGCAAGTCTCGACTGAGGTTCTGCACAATCAGCGCAGCACTGTCCAACTCTGAATTTTCCACAGTGGTGAATAGGTAGTTACATTAATTAAAGCAGAATAAAAGTTGTCTGGCTAAATCCATAAACAGCAATGAAATTTTAGACATATTGTCTTGCAGTGATATCCTGGAAGCCGGCTGTATATTTGTAGGTGATTTAAAGCTCCTGGTTTCATAAAGTTCCAACAACACTGCTAGTGTTTCTTTTCTACAATGTCCCAGAGACTATTCAAGGATACAGGTTACCAGGGGAAAAAATCTGGACTAAATAATAATAATAATCAGTTAAGGGGCTGGGTACAACCCCAAGCCTAAAATTCTTATGGCGTACTTCTTGCTGAAACAAGAAACTTTATAATAACCAGCTTTTGAGATCTTACTAATTTTGTCAGGTTGCAGTACAACAGGCAATCAGATTTTCAAATATTGACTTTGTGGGCACAAATACAACCTTTGTGGCAAGTCACAGCATCACTGGGTTTCAGGAACCAAAGGAGGAAAAGCTAGTTAGAAGAGAAAAGAAACACTTGTTAACCCATCAAGGCATACATTTCTTGGAGGCTCTTTCTGGCTTCTAATGTTGGCTATAGAGAGATCACCTGAAGCTACCTGAGTCTATATGATGCCTAATCTGTTTTTCTCTACCTTATGACTCAGATGAGTCCTCAGGGAATTAGGTCAGCTAATCAATGTTTAAGTGTCTTGGAGAGAACATTCAGATGGGTCAGCAATGGGCCAGGCAAATGCAGAGGAGCACCTTCCCTGCCGAGAAGCAGGGAGTCCAACGCTGGTCCGTTAGCACTTTAATTCATGTACTGTTTCTAGAGACACACTGTCAAGAATTCTCAGTAATCAAGATCGTCTGATGGCAAAGGATATGAATTGTCAGATCATTCGAGGAATCGGTTTCGGTTGA